ATTCTTACTGTTTACAATCTCTACAAAGAGCTTGGACCCGGACAACTAGAAAAAAATAAGATTGAAGAATTCGACAATAGCTTTTTCACATTAAAAACTGCGTAATTCAAAAGATATTGAACAGTCTGAAAAACAGCAACAAGAAACTACAAATAATGATGAATATATAACTGAATAGAATGTAATCATGTTTGCACATTTGGCCGACGAACATTTCACCGAATGAACATTTAGCCAAAAATGCAATGGCGTACTTACATCGTAATGTGCTACTTATATTTATATTTATTTACCGCATTAATTTATAATTTTTCGTTTTCTTTTACAGGCTTTTTTTTTTATCTATTCTGTATATATTATATTTTACTTCAGATATTACTGTAAGATGATAAATATTTCGAGAAAAATTACATTTTACTACAGCAAAAACCTTAAGCTTTTACGATATGAAAGATCTTTCAATTTCGCTTTTAATGATCATTATCTTAAAGGGATGAACTAGCTTTTATTTTACTGTTAAATATGAATTTAATTAATTAGGTGCTACTTTTTACCCAAATACACTCAAATATTTTTAAAAATACTAATTTTAATAAACAAATATTGAAATAAGAAAACTTTTAACTTTAACTTTAGATTTAGTAATTTAACCACTTGAAATTAATTGGTAATTATTAGCCCTCTTCTACCTTATAATACTGATAATTAAAATACTTAAAGTATTGCTTGTTATTATTTTTACTTGTAATTTTTTGGTGAAATGTTTGTTCGGATAAATTTCCATCGGCCAAATGTCCGTCGGTCAAATGTCCAGCCACGAATGTAATTGTACGTTATTTTTCCAAGAAGAAATTTAATAAACAAAAACGGGAATTATTAATATTTAGGACTCAACCTAATATGTCCAGTTCGTGCGTTGTTTTCGAGTACGTGTCTTTATTAAGGTTCCCCATTGTTTAGACTAAATTGAAAAGCAAACTAAGGCTGGATAATTTTTATGATACACGTAATATGAACATATTTTTGTCATAAGTAATCGTTAGGCATCGGACTTATTTTCATGTCAACAAATATTCTTGAAAAAAACAAACAAAACGTAATTTTTAAGCCCTGTTTTCATGAAAGTTTGGATTGTTTTGATCTATTCTTTTTCTCAAAGCTTCTGGAAGATAACATTGCATGATTCTATATAACGAACAGCATGCGAATAAAAAGAAAGAATATTTGGCAAACACTTTTTTTATATCTGCTCTTGATAATCATAAAAATGAGAAAATTTGATTTGTTTTGTCTTTCATAATGGAACAACTAAGAATAATAAAAGTAAAATAAAATGATCAACTAATCGATATTTTTATTAACAACCATATTATCCGTCAAAGGAAAGAAGGGTTTATTGACTTATAAACAGGTATATATATATATATATATATATATATATATATATATATATATATATGAACAGGCATATATATATATATATATATATATATATATATATATATATATAAAAGTGAACATTGAAGTCAACACTCAGAGGCGACAGGCTGTTTTCATCCTGGACGCAATCGTCAGGCCGCCTGACGATTGCATCCTGTAGAAACTTTTACTTTTCTTCTACTCCAATAGCTTCATACCTCGCACCTCTCGCCTGTGGAACACCCTTCCCAATTACTGTTTCCCTGAGAGCTATAATCTCCAACTATTCAAATGTAATGTCAATGAACATCTCCAGTTACCTTGATCTATCCACTATCCCTCTTCTCATCCTTTCTTCTATCACCCTATCTGCTCGCTCCAAATCTTCTGCAACCCCTGCATCCTAGTGGCTTCACGCCTTGCTCGGGTAATGTTAATATATATATATATATATATATATATATATATATATATATATATATATATATATATATATATATATATAAGTTATAAAAGCATGCTAGCCTCTGGACTACTCGATTATGTCTCTATTTCAGAAGGTAGTATTCATATAAATTACAATATAGGTGAACAATTCAACAAGAAAAACTGAAAATAAATACAATGCGTCTAAATACAAATTAGAGTCGTGTTATAATAGATCATTACATTTTATATAAATCAGCGATGTTTTGCGGCAATTTTTTAAAATCAGTTGAGATTTTTCTTGTTCAAAAGTCGAATAATTTTAACGCATTCAACATTATGAATAAAAAATTTTATATGAAAAAATTTAGCATGAGCAAAACAAATTCACGAATTTAGACGAAAAAAAGACCCAAGAATGACGTCAGAATCCACGAAAATTTTTCAACCTTTAATAGTTTTTTCTGATTAGTCTGATTTGTAATGTGTATAAAAATAGTCGAAAAAAGCAAATGTTGACAACATATTGAGAGTCACAAAGCAATCCCCGGAGCCCCCAATCAGATTTGCCCCCCTCCTCTACACACACACACACACACCCAGAGAGGACTTTGGAGATATTATGCGCTGGTCGTAGGTAGGTATATTCCAGAGTGTTTATATATAAACAAAAAAAATATATAGTTGAAACATGAACAAAAAGAAGGAATACTTTAAATAGTTTATGTGCTAAATTTCAACCAACACAAGGCTCAAAAGCCAGTCAAGGTAGAGGGTTAATGCTAAAATAGGGACGAATGGAAATAGGAATGAAGTGAACGATATGAATGAAGGAGATGTGTTAGAAATAAAATATTATAATGAAAAGGAAAATAGATAATGACAGAAACGTTAACACTATCGGTTTCAATGGAGAATACACGCAGGAGATTGGTAAGAAGCTGTTTGAGTGGACAATTATTCTTACATTTGAGAGACAAAACAATAATCATAGCGTCGGAATGTCTCAATTATGTACGAAATAAAAGTGACGTCTGGAGACAATATGTCGGTAGGAATTTATAAATTTTCCCCTTATGTACTAGAAAAAAAGTCATTTTATTCTTAACACTTACACGTGGCTGCTTATAATAGTCGTCTTGGTGGGATTCTTATGTAGCAAATGCAAGTGCTGCCTGGAATAGTCGTTCCGAGGGGACATTTCACATTTTGCCCTCACGTAGCAAATGGAAGATCCTTCACTATTCATCAAGTTGGATGGCATTTATGTAGTAAATGCAAGAAACGCTTGGAATTTTCGTGCCTGGAATCATTTTTCATTTTGCTCTAACATACCAAATGCAAGACTCTTCTCTAATTGTATTGTTGGTGGGAATCTATGTACTAAATGCAAGATTAGCATGAAATAATATTACTGGGAGACATTTCTCATTTTGCCCTCACGTACTAAATAAACGATCTGCTCTAATCGTAATGTTGGTTACGATATATGAGCTGCCTGGAATTGTCGTGCTCAGAGACATTTCTTCATTTTGTTCTTACGTGTCAAACGGAAGATCTCTGCTCTAATAGTACTGTTGGTAGTAATTTATGTGCTAAATGCAAGTGCATCCTAAAATAGTCATGCCGTGAGTCATATATCGTTTTCCTCTCCCTAAATGAATAGCAGTCTCTACTCCAATGGTAATGTTGGTAGAAATTTATATGATAAATGAAAGTGACGGCTGGAATATGCGTGCCGGGAGACATTTCTCATTTTGCTCTCAAGTACAATATGGAAGACGCTACTCTAATGGTGATGTTGCTGGGAATTTATGTACCAAATACAAGTACCGCCTTGAATAGTCGTGCCGAGTGTAATATCTCGTTTTGCTCTCTGAAATCCTTGCTTTAATTGTAATGTTGGTGGGAATTTATATACTAAATGCAATTGCCGCACTGAAATAGTCGTGCCGGAAGTCATTTTTCATAATGATCACATACACCTAATGGAAGACACTTTCTATATTGATCATGTTTGCTGTAGTCTCTGAATATGGAATCCAGTGAAGTCCGTAATCTCTTCAATATCAGAGTTTGGCAGTGAAGATTCGGAGAAAGTAGCGGCTGTTAATTCTTTAAGTCTTCGATATCAGGTTGGCAGTGAAGATATTTTTGAGAGAAAAACAAAATGTCTGCCTTTATACACGTCGCATTTAATATTTTGAGCTTTCTGATTGGTTAACCCTTCTATTGGTGAACTATAAAATGAGTCAGCTCAGTTTGGCTAGCTCACTAGTACTTACGGGGTACCCAAAAACATTCCAACACTCTAATCGTAATATTGGTGGTAATTTATGTATTACATATGAATGCTGCCTGGAATAGTTGTGCCTTGAGTCGTTTCTCGTTTTCCTCTCACGAAACAAATAGAAGCCCCTGTTCTAACAGTAATGTTGGTACGAATTCATGAACAAAAAGCAATTGCCACCTAGAATAGCCCTACCGGGAGATATTTCTCGTTTTGCTCACACAGACCAAATCGAAGACCTGCTCTAATGCTAAAGTTGGGTTCTATTTATGATGTAAATATAAGAGCCACCAAGAATTGTCGTGCTGAGAGACATTTTCTCATTTTTTTTCTAACGTATTAAATAGAAGATGTTGTTCTAATAGTAATGTTGGTGGCAATTTATATGCTCAGTGCATGTGCCGGTTGGAATAATCGTGCCGGGAGACATTTCTCATTTTGCTCTTGCGTAACGAATGAAAGACTCTGCCCTAATCGTCATGTTTGTGGGAAGTTATGCACTAAATTATTTATTGCCGGATGAGTGAAGCCGGATTATAGGATTCTATTTCGTCTAAATTTGACCTCCATTATTTATAAGACAGACATTCGTTAAAAAACATGATTATTTGTTTCCGATTGATTGAAGCCGGATTATAGAATTTTTGTGGCCTTGTTAGGGCCAGAAATAAAGACACAAAAAGAGGAATTGAGTTAAATAAATATATTAACAGAAACAACAATACAAACATATACAAACAAGAGTGTTACAGCAAGAATGTTCGATCTGACTGTCAAAGCTGACTGCTGGAAACTTCCCTCTCCAAAAGGCAGTACCTGCTCCTATTTATAGCTAGGAGAGTCCATACATGCACGGGTAAATTACCATAACAGATAGATAGATAGATAGATAGATAGATAGATAGATAGATAGATAGATAGATAGATATGAACAGACTGTGATAGATAGATGGATGGATAGATAGATATGAACAAACTGTGATAGATAGATGGTGTTTTGGCCTTGTTAGGGCCAGAAATAAAGACACAAAGAGAGGATATTTCATCTAAATTTGAACGCCTATACTTATAAGAAGCCAATAACCATGAACCAACATTATTTGTTGCTGATCGATAAAAGCCGGATCATAGGATTATATTTCGTCTAAATTTGAACTCCTATACTGTCTCGTCAGTTATGTATCGAAAGATACATGATCGCCTACGCGTGTATCACGCATGGCACGTAACTGATATGACAACTCGTGAAGAGCAATGATTATTTCCAGCCGATTTATGGATGCCGAATTATGGGATTATATTTCGTTTTAATTCGAACTCCTATAATTGTAAGACAGCCAGTCGCCAAGGACCAATGTTATTTGTTGCCGGCTGATTGAATCTGGATTATAGGGTTATTTTTAGTTTAAATTCGTACTCTTATAAGACAACCACACTTATAAGACAATCAATCATAGAGACCCAATATTATTAGTCGCCGGATTATGGAAGCCGAATTATACGAGTGTTTCGTCCAAACTCGAGCTATTATATTTATAGGATATTAGGCAAGGAGACCGATTTCATAAATCCGGATTATAAGAATTATAATTCGTATCGTTAGTACTCCTATACATACAGGAATTTATTTGTTGTCTGTTTATTGAAGGCGCTTTATAGGAATATATTTCGTCCATATTCAAGCTCCTATAATTATAAGACAGTCAGTTGCCAATAATTAAGATTATTAACGCCGGATCATAGGTTTATATTTCGTCCATATTCGCTATCCTATACATTGCCAGTCACGACGATCCTTGACTATTTGTAGACGATTGATTGAAGCCGGATTAGAGGATTATATTTCCGCCAGACGCCAAGATTATTTGTCGGTTGATGATTAAATCTTAATAACAGGATTATATTTCATCCATATTAGAAGATACATATAATAGAGCCAATAGCCTAGATCCAAGATTATTTGTTGCTGAATTACAGGATTATATTTTCTATAGATACGAAATCCTATACTTATATGACACAAGTCGCCAACGGAAAAGTTTATATGCTACCGGTTGATTAAAGCCGGATTATATGATTATGTTTCAACAAATTCGAACTTTTATGCTCATAAGTCGGACAGTCGACAAGATCCAAAATTCTTTGTTGTCGGTAGAATACAGCCGGATTATAGAATCATATTTCGTCTAAATTCGAACTCCAATACTTATAAGACAGAAAATTATATCCTGATAATTCAAACCGGTTAATAGGATTGCATTTCCTATAAATTCAATGCCCTATACGTACCTGAAAGCCAGTCGCCAAGGCTAAGATTTTTTGTAAGATGATTGAAACCGGTTTATAGAATTTTGTTTCATCTAAATTCGAAATACTATAATTATAAGACAACTCGTTGAGAGAAACCGGAGTATAGGATTATATTTCGTCTAAATTAGAATTGCTATACATATAAGACAACCAGTGGGCATGATCTAAGTCTATTCGTAACCAGTGGTTTGCAGCCGGAGTATAGGATTATATTTCGCCGACATTCGAACAACTATGCATGATATTTTATCCGATTTACTGAAAACAGATTATAGGATTATATGTTATCTAAATTCGAAACAATTTACTTACGAATTTTCCAGGAAGAATTATTGGGGCATATTGCATCTAACTTCGAACTCCTGTTTTATTTTCCGGATTATCGGATTCTATTTCATAAAGATTCGAAATTTTATAATTATAAGGCAGCCAGGCTCCAATACCCAAGATAATCTGTCGACGGATAATTGGTTCCGGTTTATAGGATTATGTTTTCTATAAATTCGAACTGCTATATTTATAAAACATCCATTCGCAAAGACACAAGATTATCTGTTGGCGTATGATAGAATCCGGATTATAGGATTATATTTCCTACCAATTCGAACTCCTATATTTATGAAACAGCCAGTCGACAAGACTCTAGTTCATCTGTCGGCTAATGATTTAATCCCGGTTATAGGATTATACTTTCTATTAATTCGAACCCCTGTTTTTATAAAATAGCCACTCGCCAAGACCCAATTTTATCTGTCGGCGGATGATTGAATCCGGATTATAGGATTATATTTCCTATAGATTCGGATTGCTATATTTATAAACCAATCAATCGATGATCGGATCAGGATTTTAAGAATATATTACCTATAAAATCCTATATTTGAAAAATAGCTACTTGCCAAAGCCCAAGTTAATCTATCGGCTGATGTTTGAATCTGGATTATAGGATTTTCTTTCCTATAATTTCAGATTTTATATTTTTAAAACGACCAGTCGCCAAGGATCAAGTTTATCTGTCGGCGGAAGATTAAATCCGGATTATTGGACTGTATTTCCTATAAATTCGAACTGCCACATTTATCAATCAAACATTCGCAAAGACCCAAGTTTATCTGTCGGCGGATGATCTAATCCGGATTATGAGAATATATTTCCTATAAATTAGAATTTCTATATTTTCAAAAGAGCCACTCGCTACACCCAAGTTTATCTGTCGGTGGATAATTGAATCAGGATTATAAGATTATATTTCCTAAAAATTCGAAAACCTATATTTGTAAAATAGCCACTCGCAAAGACCCAAATTTATCTGTCGGCGAAAGATTGAATCCGGATTATATAATTATACTTACTAAAAATTCCAACCTTTTTTTTAAACGGCGAGTAAACAAGATCAAAGTTTACCAGTCAGCAGATGATTGCATCCGGAATTTAGGATTATATTTCCTTTGAATTCGAAATTCTATAATTATAAAAAAGCCATTCTCCAAGACCCAAGTTTACCTGTCATCGGATGAGTGAATCCCGATTAAAGGATTATATTTCCTGTAAATTCGAACTCTTATATTTATAAATCAGCCATTCTCCAAGACCAAACTTGAACTGTCGTCGGATGATTAAATACGAATTATAGGATTACATTTCTTATAAGTTCAAACTCCTTTATTTATAAATCAGAGAGTCTCCAGGACCCAAGTTTACCTGTCGCCGGATGATTGAATCCGGATTATAGGATAGTATTTTTTATAAATTCGAACTCCTATATTTAAAATAAGCCAGTTCTACAAGAACCAAGTTTACCTGTCGTCGGATGATTGAATCCTGATTATAGGATTAAATTTTCTATGAATTCGGACTCATATTTATAAAACAGCCTGTCTCACATAATCAAGTTTACCTGTCGTCGGATAATTGAATACGGATTATAGGATTATATTTCTTATTAATACGAACTTCTACATTTCTAAATCTGCCAGGCTCCAACACCCAAGTTTACCTGTCGTCGGATGATTGAATCCGGATTATAAGATAGTATTTTTATGAATTCGAACTCCTATATTTATAAATAAGCCAGTCTCCAAGACGCAAGTATACTGTCGTCGGTGATTGAAACCGCATTATAGGATTACATTTCCTATAAATTCGAACTCCTATATTTATAAATCAGCCAGTCTCCAAGACCCAAGTTTACCTGTCGTCGGATGATTGAATACGGAATATAGGATTATATTTCTTATAAATACGAACTCCTATATTTATAAATCAGCAAGCTCCAAGACCCAAGTTTATCTGTCGTCGGATGATTGAATCCGGATTATAGGACTACATTTCCTTTAAATTCGAAATCCTATATTTATGAAACTGCCTGTCTCCCAGACCCAAGTTTACCTGTCTTCGGATGATTGAATCCTGATTATAAGATAACATTTCCTATAAATTCGAACTTCTATATTCATAAGTCAGCCAGGCACCAAGACCCAATTTATCTTTCGCCGGATGATTGAATCCCGATTATAGGATTACATTTCCTATAAATTCTAAATCCAATATTTATAAATCAGCCAGTCTCCAACACCCAAGATTACCTGTCGTCGGGTGATTGAATCCTGATTATAGGATTACATTTCCTATAAATACGTACTCTAATATTTATTAATCAGCCAGGCTACAAGAACCATGTTCATCTGTCGTCGGATGATTTTATCCGAATTATAGGATTACATTTCCTATAAATATGAACTCCTATATTTATAAATCAGCCAGTCTCCAAGACCCAAGTTTACCTTTCGTAGGATGATTGAATCCGGATTATAGGATTATATTGCCTATAAATTTGAACTCCTATATTTATAAATCAACCAGGTCCAAGACCAAATTGACATCTCTTCGTATGTTTGCATCCGGATTATAGGATTACAATTCTCATAAATTCAAACTCCTATATATGTATATCAGCCAGGCTCCAAGACCCAAGTTTATCTATCGTCGGATGATTGAATCCCGATTATAGGATTATATTTCCTATAAATTCGAAATCCTTTATCTATAAATCAGCTATGCTCCAAGACCCAAGTTTATCTGTCGTCGGATGATTGAATCAGGAGTACTGGATTACATTTCCTATAAATACGAACACCTATATATTTAAATCAACCAGTCTTAGAATTCCCATATTATAAAACAGTCACTCTACAGGACCCAAATTACCTGTCGGCTGATTATTGAATCCGGATTATATGATTATATTTCCTATAAATTCGAACTGGTATATTTAGAAAACGGCCTGTCGCAAAAACCCATGTTTACCTGTCGGCGGATGATTGAATCAGTGTTATAGGATTACATTTCCTATAAATTCGAACTCCTATATTTATAAAACATCCAGTCACATTGACCCCCGGCTATCTGTCGGCGGATGAGTGAATCCGGATTATAGGATTTTATTTCCTATGAATTCGAATTCCTATATTTTTAAAACGGCCAGTCGCCAAGGCCCAAGTTTATCTGTCGGCGAGGTATTGAATCTGGATTATAGGATTATATTTCCGATAATTATTCACCAACACCCAATTTTCTCTGTTGGCGGATAATCCAATTCAGCCAGTCTCCAACACCCAAATACGTATGTTTATTTCGGCGAATTATTGAATCCTATTTATAGGATTTTATTTCCTATCAATTCGAAATCCTATATTTATAAATCAGCCAGTCTACAAGACCCAAGTTTATTTGTCTATAGTATGTATATTTGAATAGTCATATTTATAAGTCAACCAATCGACCTATG